CATCTGTAACAAATATCCAGGCATCAGCCCACTCACAAGCACAGGGCTTGCAAGATTCCCTCTTATGCTATCCTTGAGGTCAGAGACCCCGTACAGGCGCGGACGTCCCATTTTGTCACACGGGCGTCGTGGCCAGAGAGGACAGCGAGGCGGGTGTGGCACACAGTAGCTGTTGTTAGGTGCCCCTGAGCCGACTCTGACTCACAGCGACCCTCTGAACACAGACGTGAACCTGGCCCTACCCTGCGCCAGCCTCACCGTCTGCTCAAGTCCATTGTTACGGTTACTGTGTCAAGCCATCTTGTTGAGGGTCTTCTTTCCTTTCTCTGACCCTCCACCTTTCCCAGCATGATGTCTTTATTTATTTTATGATGTCATTTTTTAAGAACTGCCCCCTCCCACATATAACCAACAACTCGCCCCAAGTCTGTGTGACCAAGTTTCACCAGCCGTGACTCTGAGGTGCACCCTGGCTGCACGTCCAGGACAGACTTGTTTGTTCTTGTAGCCTCTCCTGTGGTTGCTGTTGTTAACTGCCATTGACTCACAACCAACCCGTAACTGTGGGTTTCCACAGACTGTCAATGGCACAAATTAGCCCCTATTTCTCCTGTGGAGCAGCTGGTGGATTTGAACTGCATGCCTTTGGGTTAGCAGCACAACTCTTTGAGAAGAGGCAACCACAGCTACTCGTGGCAGTCTCATAAGGGGCCAAAATGCACCAATGAGCTAACAGAGGCAAAAATACCTCTTAAAGGCAAATGCCAGTCTGGTGGCGGAGTCCAGAGCAAGTGGCACTGCTAGCATTCGGGCTTAGTGTCACCAGTGGCTCAGATCCACCAGAGACTCCACGGGAGGAAGACAGACAGCCTCTTCCCATCTCAATTAAGAGCCTAGTGGAGGGTCAGCTATGAGTAGGAAGCACCCGACAGCATTGTTTGATTGTGTACGGGAGGGACAACTCTGATGTGTTTGTTTTTCAGCAGCATGAATCCCACGGCTTCATCAGGAACCCCAGGCAATCCCGTGTTTTGGGTGCCACCCAACACCAATTACCCTGTGGTTCCAGGAGTCGTGTCTCAGGTACCCTTGTATCCAAGTGCCCAGCCTCAAGTCCACTTGATTCCTGGGAATCCACTTGGCTTGCCAGTGCATGTGACTGACCCACAGGCCCACAGAGCCTTGAAAGAAGGCAAAGTCTTAGGGGTAAGTGCTATTTCACTTTGCAAGCCAGAGGTCACAGGGCAGGGACCAGGGGAGGGATGGAGAAGGCGTGGGAAGTGCAGACATTCTTCAACAGAGTGCAGCTGGCCTGGCCTTGCTAAACACAAGTCTATATTAGAAAGCTCATCTGGGCAATTTTACCAGGGGTCTCCGGGCCTGGACATACTGCTATTTTTAGGTCCCATCGAGTCAAGTGAGCCTATGAATAAAAGATCTGAGCCCTGTCCTCTCATATGCCGTCCTCATCACCTCTGACACACTTGAACCGATAGCCACACTCACTGTGTTAACCATCTGGTTAAGGGTCTTCCTCACTTTCACTGCCCCTCCACCCTTCCAAGCATGATGTCCCTTCCCAAGGAATAACCTCTCCGAGAAACATGTCCACAGTATTAGAGATGAAGGTTTGCCATCCTTGTCTCCAAGAAACACTCCAATTGCACCTTTTCCAAGACATTTGGGTTCTTTTAGCAATCCGTGGGATATTAAGCACTCTTCTCCAATACAACTCAAAGGCATCAAGTCTTCTTCTGTCATCATTATTCACTGTCCGTCTCTCAGATGCATAGAAAGTGGCTGAAAAGGTCATGGCCTGAATCAGGCGCACCTCAGTCCTAAAACTGAATACAGGCTTTTAGGAACAGGGATAGAAACTTTAGATGTTGATCAGATTCCCAAATCCTCTGCAAGACCCGAAGTAAGCCACAAGGTGGCGCGCAAGACCTACGGGACTGAACGCCTCGTAGTCCAACAGAAAAATAGGAGAAAGGGTTGGACACTTCATTCATTCTTAGCAGAACAATTGCACAAATTAAATAATTAGGTTTTAGCGAAACAAGTGGGGGAAAGTCCACTTTGGTAATGCAAAGGAGGCATGATTGATGAAAGAGATAGAGACAGTGTGAAAGAGTCACAGAGGAAAGGAGAGAAGAAATGGGATGTGGGGTGGGGTGGGATGGGGTAAGGTGGGGTGGAGTGGGGGTAGCACACCCCTGGAAAGTCAGGGATGGACCCCTGCCACGTGATCCCTGGAAGAATGTGATTACACTTGTGACTCATGTTACAAAGTGTATGGTGTATGAATGGGTGGGTGGAAAGTTCATTTGCTCTTGTAAACTTTCACAAAAATTGCGGTTTTAATGCCAGAGAAGTAAGATCCAATAGGAGCAAAGACGAGCCTGTGGTTCTCTCGCAGGCCCTGCAGATCCTGATCGGCCTGGTCCACATCGCTTTCGGCTCCGCCCTGGTGACCGTCATCAATGGGAGATACACTGCGATCTCGTTCTACGGTGGCTTTCCTTTCTGGGGAGGCATCTGTGTAAGTAGCCCTGTCCCCTGGACTCAGGGCCACCTCGGAAAGTGATGTGGCCTGTCCCCTGCACAAGGTTCCTGGTCAAAGCTACAAATTCAACAAATCCAGGCCTTAACAGAGTGTTTTCCAAGGTCGTCCACTCAGGGGTCAGAATGCTATCTCCAGTTAGTGGCTGAGGGTGGGTGGCTTTTTCTAATTCACACTCATAAAAAACAAAAATAGCGACCCCTGAGTGTTATAAATCTGCAGCCCCTGCCTGGTGCATTTGCTTAATACGGTCAGTTGCTAACCAAAAGGTTGCAGTTTCAAGTCCACCAGGGGGCACTTCAGAACTAAGCCCTGACCATTTGCTTCCCATAATTGTGCCGTGGAAAAAACCCTACGGATCCCAGCTCTCCTCTGGGATATACTGGTTCTCCGTGAGTTGGGGTCAGCTCATGGCAGCTGGTGGTGTAGTGCTCAGCCCTGGGACCCCAAATCCAAATTCCAGAAGAAAAAAAATGTTTACTAGTGGGCAAGGGTGGCTGCCCAGCCTCAGAGCAGCAAAAGTGAGAGACAGAGACAGAGTGAGAGAGGTGTCTCTATGAGTTCACGTGTACATACACATGTGAACAGCAAGGATTGATAACCTACAGTTCATAGATGGGCTGCAAAGGTCCCACTTTGATAAAATACTTGTATGTTTAGATGTGCATTGCTTTTCTGGAAAAGTCCTAACTTTAATCAGATTGTTAGGGTGGTCTGTGATTCTGCAAAACACCTCCCTCCTTTCTTCTTTCATTCCTTTCCTTCCTGCCTGCCTGCCTTCCTTTCCTTCCTTCCTTTTTCTTTCTCCTTCTCCCTCTCCCTCTCCCTTTGCATGCATTTATGCTTCTTTCTCATTCTCTTCAAGATCTTCCTCCATCCCCATATTCCCTCCCTTCCTTCCCACCCACCCATGTCCTTTTCTTTCCACTGTCTGTTACGTAAAGGAGCCCTGGTGGCACAAGAGTTAAATAATTTGGCTGCTAACTGGCTGTGGTGCTGGAGACGAGTGTTGAGTATACCCTGGACTGCTAGGAGGACAAACGGGTTCATCCTGGAGAGGGTGAAGCGGGGCTGCTCCTCGGAGGCAAGGATTCTGGGGCTTGTTCTGACATACTTTGGACATGTTGCAAGGAGGGACCAGTCCTTGGAGAGGGACATCATGCTTGGTAGCATGGAGGGACAGCACAGGAGGGGAAGACCCTCAATAACATGGATTGATTCAGTGATTAGGGTAATGGGGGGTGGGTGTGTCAGAGACAATAAGATTGGCACAGGATAGAGCAGGGTTTAGGGCTGTTGGACATAGGGTTGCTAAGAGTCACAGGCAACTTGATGGCACATAACAACAACCAGAAGGTCACCAGTACAAACCCACTCACCACCACTCCAGAGGGGAAAGAAAAAGCAGCCTGCTCCTGTAAAGATGGACAGCCTCAGAATGCCGGGGGAAGTTCCACTCTGTCTGATAAAGTTGCTGTGAGTTAGAATGAACTTTCGTGCACATGCTGTGACTTGGTTTTGTTTGTTTGCTTTCTGTTATATAATTTCGCCCTGACCTCACACTCACAACAGCCTGGGGCTCAAATATAATTTCTCTCACCAACAGTGCAACTCCAAAGTAAAACAAATGTCAGCCAAAATCTCACGAGATTGCAGTACATTAGACTGTCTCACACACTGTGTCCATAGCAGGAGTGTTCATCCCTGGAGAAGGTCATCGGGACAAATGTCAATGAAAAAAAAAAAAAGAAGATCTTCAAAAAGATGGACTGACATCATGCTTGCCATGATGGCTTCACACATCGCCAGGGTTGTGAGGCCCGCTCAGGACCAGAAAGCGCTCCATTCTGATGAATACAGGGTCCCCGTGAGCTGCATTAAAACCAATCCATCCAGTCCTTGTGAGGGGTAATGTATATGAACTTTGTGGGTAAACCAGTGTAAAATAGATTTTTAAAAAATGAATTGCAAAAAAAAAAATTTAAAAAAAATGAATTGCAAGAAATTTTTTAAAATTATTTTACAAAAACCAGTCCACCTCAGTTTACTCATGTCAAGAATGTCAATCTGGGGGAGCTCTGGTGGCCTAGTGGCAAGAAGCTGCACTGCAATCCCAGAAGCGCATGGTTCGAATCCACCAGATGCTCTGCTGGGAAAGGAGGGACAATCTCCTCCTGTACCAGTCAGATCTGATTTGACGGTACACAGACACACAAAATAATAATAAAATAAAAAATTTTAAAACAGAAAAAAAGAATGTCAATCTGTATGCATTCCGTTTCATTTTTGACAGCTTTCACTTTTCTTAGATTTCAGACTTCACACATTCCATGTTCTAGTTATGAACAGATGTTTGTAGTTATTTCTCCTCATTCAGCCTGAGTTATGCAGATGCCACAACCCTGCTTGCAGAAAGTGAAGAAAACGTGAAGCATTTCTTGTGGAAAATAAAAGATTAAAGCCTTCAGTCGATGCATTACATGTCAATATCAAGAAAACAAAAGTCCTCACCACTCCAAGAGGCAATATCATGGTGTTGGTGTTGTTCTGTGCCTTCAAATCAACTGCAACAGCTGGAGAAAAGATTCAAACTGGCAAGGATTTCATTTTATTGTAACCCATTATCAACACCCACGGTAGCAGCAGTCAAGAAATCTAAAGATGCGCTGCATTAGGAAAGTCTACTGCCAAGGAATCTCCAAAGTGCTAGAGAGTGGTCACATTAAAGACTAAGGTGCACCCGATCCAATCCAGGGTATTTTCAATTGCTTCCTATGCATCTGAAAGCTGAGAAATGAGTAAAGAAGACTGAAGACGAATCAATGCCAAACAGTTCTGAATATGCCATGGATTGCCAAACGAACAAATAAATCTGTCTTGGAGGAAATGCAACCAGGGCACTTCTTAGAGGCAAGGAAACTTTATCTCATACTTTGGTTATGTTGTCAGGAGGACCAGTCCTTAGAAAAAATTATATCATTCAGAAGGTGACTGTGTCAACTCAACAGCCCCTAATAACAATGATGAAATGACTTGGAACTGACTAGATAGTCCTTAATTGCAACAATACCGTGGACTGCCAAAAAAAAAATAAATAGGTCTATCTTGGAAAGAGTGAAACCAAGTTTCTCCTTGGAGGCTAGAATTTTGAAGCTTTATCTTACATAGCTTGGGCATGTGGCCAGGCAGGACCAGTCCTTGGAGAAGGGCATCATGCTTGGAAGGGTGGACAGACAGTGCAGGAGAGGAAGACCCCGGATGAGATGGACTGACACAGTGACTGGACAATGGGGTAGGTGTGTCGGAATCAGTGAGACTGGCTCAGGACAGGGCAGGCTTCAGAGCTGTCTCACATAGTGTCACTATGAGTCACGGGCAACTCAATGACACATAACAACAATAACAATGATGGACGGTTCCAAGCTACACTGCAGAGGAAAGCCCTGGTGTTCTCCTTCCAGAAAAAGTATGTTGTTGTTGTTGTTGTTGTTGTTGTTGTTGTTGTTGTTACGTGCCGACGAGTCGCCTGCGACTCATAGTGACCCTATGTACAACAGCCCTAAACCCTGTTCTATCCTTCGCCAACCGCACACCCATCCCAATTATCCCAGTCACTGAATCAATCCACCTCATAGAGGGCCTTCCTCTCCTGCGCTGTCCCTCCACCCTTCCAAGCATGATGTCCCTCTCCAAGGACAGGTCTCTCCTCACAACATGTCTAAAGTATGTTAGACGGAGCCTCTAACTCCGTAAGATTTTACTGAAGATTATCCAAAAACGACTGGAACAGCACATCAACAGAGAAAAAGTATAGCAAAAGGAAAAAAAATTTAAAAGTAAAGCCAAGAAAGCCTATGGAATCGTTCTACGCCATACCCTGTGGTGTGGCGTGCCTCTATGGCAGAAGATTACATGCTACATGCCTACAAATATCCTTCTCTAAAGTTTCTCTCTAAGAAAGATCTTGAAATATCTTTCCCTGAAGGTATCCTTACTTGCTCTCTCTCAGCCCCGTCCACACCTACCTTACTGCAGCCATGGTCTTCCCTCTGCTCTGTCCAAGCGCACACTCGACCCTCAGTCCCTTTTTGTCAGGACCCTTCTCCTAGTCACTCACAGGGCACCTGAATATTCGAGTCCCATATATTTGAGGACAGTGAAGCCCTAGCACGCCACCCACAGGAGGCACCAGCCACAGCGTGCCCAGCTCCTGATCTTGAGTGTCCAGGGGCTGCCTGGCTCCTGTGATGCCTCCTTTCTCCTTCTACGAAGCTGTCCCAGCTCCCATCAGCCATCAAGGGTTTCCTGTATTTTCCATGCAGGACATTTCTGTTCTCTGCAGCCTTCAGGATCCTAGAATTACTTTGTCGTTTCCACAGATCACACTTACTGAACATCTACAAAGAGCGGGATCTAGTATGTGCATGACATGTCAGATCTGCCAGGCACTGGCACAAATCATCTAAAGACAGGGATGCACGGCAGCAAGTGTGGAGTCTGTGCTTCAGATGACAAAAATGATTTCTTTTATACTCAGAGAAATAAGTGACTTATCCTCAGTCAGGTCAGTTTTGAGTCAAAATTTAAAGCCAGGTCCTCTGAATCCTAGACTCTATGTTTATCCCACTTTGCTTCCCTCTCACATGGAATGCAGTGGCCCACTCATCCTGGTTCCTGAGGGTTCCAGCAAAGGAACCTACTATGGGAGAGGGAGTGCATGCTTCTGAACAGAATCCCAGAAGCCCAAGGCAGGGGCATAAAAAAGGAGCAAGGACCATGTGGGGATGGTCATATCTGACCTTTCCCAACTCCACAAAGGGGAACTGTCCCCATCAACAACACAATACCAGTTCCTCTCTCACTCCTGCACCTCTTTATACTCACCCAGTTCCAATCTTACTGCTCTGCTGGGTCCAAAATGTGTTGTGGTAGCTCACAGACCATACAAAACCATATTAGGGAGGTCAAGAAGCTATAATTCAGGTTAATAACAGATATCACTCAGTCAGGACAGCAGCCTAAATGTGCTCACAGGCTCCTCAGTCTCGTGGCTTCAGGCAAGTGTTACAAATCCCTTAGTCCCACCAATTATGCTTCTCCCCTGCAGTACTCAAAGAAAACACGGGTAAAAGGTCCTTACTTCTGACTCCGGGAGTGGCAGTCCCCAGGTTGGCTCCCTCTCATGTCAGCTCTCTAGCTCTGTGTTGTGGCCGTGGCACCTGCTGCTGCAGGTGTGGCTGGCACAAGAATCTCTGGCCCCCCAAAAGGCAAGCTTCATTCTCTTCTTTCTTCTTGTCTGGTGGTGAGCTTCTCAAAATCTGCTGCTCTGTCTGCACAAAGTCAAACTCAAGGCTAGGAAAGTCATTTTGAACAATAAGCCCTGAACACCTCAGGTCACTAGCCACTGACCTCTCCTCTAAACTCCTCTCTCTTCCACACCAGTTTATTATTTCAGGGGCCCTTTCCGTGTGTGCAGAAAAGAACCCAGGATCTTCTTGTCTGGTAAGTGACATAGTCCCTACAACTGGCTGTCCTCACCGGGCTTCTCTAGGATAAAGTCAGAGACAGGGAAGCAAATTAACACATGGTCTCTCTCCCCTTCACATCTACTTACTGTACCCAGACATCTACTTACTGTACCAGCCTGGGTTATCCAGTGCTGCTGAAACAGAGGTGCTACAGGAATCTAACAACAGGAATGTATGCTCCTCAGGGTGGGAGGCTAGGAGTCTGAATCCAGGGTCCGGCTCTAGGGGAGGCCCCCTCTCTCCATTGATTCTAGTGGAAAGTCCTTGTTTCCTTCAGCATTGGTAGGCCCAAGGTTCCCTGGAGTTCTCCACACATCTTTGCCTTCCCCTGTGACAGGGAGCTTCCCAGGATAGGGTCCTGGTTCCAAAGGACATGCTCTACCCCCAATCTTCTTGCTTGGTAGTCCTGAGCTCCCTTCCCCCCAACCTTGCTTACACTTTCCTTTATTCCCTTGTGAGACCAAAGGTGTTCCCAGGCACACCCCAAAAACGTCCCATTCATCAGTTTCATTCTGTTAGGATGTTACACCCCACCTTAATACCCTTACAACTGACTGACGGGTCATGTCTCAGATCACTGCATGGGGAATGACTGCTGCATTACATAATTGCCTTTCATTTTGCTTCATTGATATCATAAGGTGACACATATTCTGAAAGGAACACAGTTCAGTCCAGGACAGGGCACGTTAATACACACACTCTTAATTCCATGAGGAACCACCTGAGCCTGGCCCAAGTCACAAGCAGGAGAGAGCCCCCAGGACTGGGGAGGAAGAAACAGAAGGAACACCCCAGCATCAGAGCCTTACAGAGAAAGCACAGCCCTCCCAGGGGCAGGCCGCCCTCCAGCAGAACAGGGCACAGAGCAGGCCGCTGGGCAGTTGTGAATGCAAGCCAGCAAGGCCTCGGGAGGTGCTGCCCTAAAGAATCTGGCCAGCCAAGCTCAGAAAATCCCCTGGACAAAGCTCTGTGCTCCCCTAGCAATGGGCCAGAAGACATCTTTATTTCCCTGAAAGGCAGGTTGGCTAGGGCAAGGGGCCTCGGAGGAAGCGGGTCCCTGCAACCAGGTGGGAGTTATTCGAAAAGCTCCACAGGTAAACGCTACCTTCTGCATGTAGCATGCCTCAGCCTGTCACATCCCCGTCCCGAGGCACTTGGGCCAAGACTCCTGCCTGTGCCCTCTGGGATTAAAGAGTGTAGTGTTTACCATGGAAGCTCTGGTGGCCTAGTGGCAACAAGCTGCACTACAGTCCCAAAGGCATGTGGTTCAAGGCCACCAGCTGCTCCAAGGGAGAAGGATGGGCAGTCTCCTCTCTGAAAACCCGCTGGAAGGTCAGCTATGGGTCGGTTCCAACTTTACTGTACAAAGCAACAAGAAGTGTTTCCCAAAGATTCATGAGAATGCCCATAAGATGCTCTGAAAAGATGATTAGATAAACTTGGAGGGAGTGGAAGTCTCAATTTACCCAGGCGCCTTTCGTGAAGATCCACTGTCTTCATTCATTAAAGGCACTGAGAAGTCCTGCAAAGTGAACCTACTTAATTTTGTTTAGCTTTCCTATTTTTCAGAGTGACTTTACTCCCAGCGCCTTTTGCACAGGATGCTTCTTGCTGAAGAACTAGGGGCCCCGAGATGCACATTAAGAAGCAGTTGTTGCGTCTTGCTCATCTCAGAATTCTTCTTCTGTCCCACCCTCTGTGTCTTCCTCAGCTGAACGGCAGCACGGGCATGAACATCGTCAGTGCCATCTTTGCCGTGGTCGGTATCATGCTCTTCATCACAGATCTGAGCATCTCCATCACCTGGGATTGGTCCTATGACCCTTACTACAATTACAGCTGGGGTGTGGTGAGTATCCCTCCTGACCCTTCTGGGCTTGAACTTCAGAAAGATAGGCGAGAGTCTGACAATCACTTCAGCCAGCCCTGTAGGCTAAGGCGGAGCTGTCAGAATCTATTCCCTCTTAAAGTCCCTGCCCCGTTCTTGCTGCGTCTCTTTAAGCAAGTGACTTTTCTTCGTTTTGGTGTCTGACTGTGAAATAGTTACCTACTTTACAGAGTTGTTGGGAGAATTAAATGCAATCTTATCTCTAATAAAGGAGCTCTGTGGTGTGTTGGGAGCCCTGGTGGGTGAGTAGTAAGGAGTTACGCTGCCAACCCGAAGGTATGCAGTTTGAATCCACCACCTGCCAGGGGAAGAAAGATAGGCAATCTCCTCCCTTAAGCTTTACTGGAGGAGGGTCAGCTATGAGTTGGTTCTGACCTGATGGCACACAACAACAACACAGTGTGTTGCACTGCTAGGTCAGAAGGCTGGTCTTCTCCAGTGGTTCGGATCCCCCAGGGGTCCTGCGGGAGAAAGATGGGCAGTCTTGGCCTGTTAAGATTTACAGCCTCAGAAATCCAAAGAAGAGTTGCTATAGGTTAGAATAAACATGATAGCGGTGTGCTTGACTTTTCTGGTTACACATGTAATGTGTTGTTTACACCAAACCCCCTAGAGAGGCACTCTCTGCCTACTTCCCTCTTACTACAGATCAGGGGTCAGAAAGAGTTTTGTTTTTTTTTTAACAAGAGCTTGTTGTTGTGGTTGTGTGTTGTCGCATCAGACCTGACCCATCGCTGACCCTCCAGTGGCTTTTCAAAGGCAGTAAATTGCATGGGAGGAGATTGCCCATCTGCCTACCACAGAGCAGCGGGTGGATTCTGTTGGGATTGCAAACCCCACGCTGGGATTGCAGCTCGGCTTCTTACACTAGACCACTGGAGCTCCCTAAGGGCCTGCTACTAAATCTTTAAAGCTTTGCAGGCTGCTCAGTCTGTTACAATTTTATTCAACCCTGTCTTGCAGCCAACGCTGCATTACTCAATAAGCGAGGTAAAACGCAGGCTCACTTGAGTTTCCTCACTACCCTCCAATGAACAAGCTCACATTGTTTTCACATCAAAAGGTCTGCATCTAGGAAGGGCTGCCATCTCGCTCTCTCCCTACCCCATGGCACCTTCCTGAAGAAGAATTAATGCCTCTTTTAAATTCACAATCCCTGGCAGGAATGGGGTACCCAGTAAACAAAGCATGGCCTGACTTGTGAAATTGTTCACTACAGATTAGTGAATGATCTACAAGTAAGCCTGCGTTTATCTTACTGCGTAGTCCACTCCTACCCATAGCTGCCATGAAAATATATAAACAAATGAGCATGATCGTGTTCCAATAAAACTTTATTTACAAGGAGCTGTCAAAACATGACCACAGGACATACTTTGCCAAACCCCCTGTAGAGCAGAGCTGCCCAATGGCTCTATAAGTGGCAAGAAGCTGTGCTGCAATCCCAAAGGCAGTTCGAGGCCACCAGACGCTCTGCAGGATGATGGGCAGTCCCCTCTCGTGTGATTAACGGCCTCTGAAAACTCACTAGAGGGTCAGTATTACATTTTCTTTTACCTAATCCAATGTATCCAAACTGTTATACATTCCACATACAATTAATGTGGAAAACTACTACTTTGCTTTTTTGCATCCGGGGCACTAAATCTCTGGATTTTTTTTCTGTTTTTTGTATTTATTCCACATCTCAATTGGAACCTGGACTCTTAGGGGTGAGATATGAGCACATTTTAAGTGCTTCGCAGACAGAGGAAGTTCAAGGTTCGAGGTTACAGGGTTGGAGAGGGCTCCTATGGGAGGTTAACTGCCTGTGTCCATGTCAGCACCATCCTGGAGCTCTGGTGGCCCAGTGGCAAAAAGCTGCGCTCTAATCCTGAAGACATGCAGTTTGAATCCACCAGCTGCTCCACGGGAGAAGGATGGGCAGTCTCTTCCCATGTGACTAACTGCCTCTGAAAACCCTCTGGAGGGTACACAACATCACCTGCACACCACAGCCACCCTCTCCCACCTACTCAAGGTCATTTCTCCCAGTTCCCTGCCGCTCCCCTCAGGCCACCTTTCTTTTCAGTTTCCTCCTACAGCAGACCTTTTCCATCAGCGTATGAACATGCAGTAACTTCTTCCATTTTAAGCAAAAATGACAATTTCTCTTGGTCCCATATCCGCTACCAATTCTCATTCTATTTCTCTGGTGCCCTTTACAGAAGGATCTTTAAAATAATCGTCTGCTTTCGTTGTCTCCAGTTTTTGCCTCTAATACTCATCCTCTCTTGAATTCAGTTCCTTATCTCAGCTCCCAGGCTCCTCCCAAGCAACTCCAGGCTCCTCCCACCCTGGTTTTCCTCCATTCTCATTGGTTACTCTTCTTCTCTGTCTACTGAGCTGGCTGTCTCTCACCCTTTCAAGATCAATCCTTGGTCCTTGTCTATCTTCTCTACCTACTCACTCTCTTGGCATCTCACCCAGGCTCACAGCTTTGAACCCCGTTTCTATGACAATAACTCTAAGAGTATGCATATCCCCAGCCTATTTCTCTCCCAAACTCCAGTCCTATAATCCAGCCGTCTGCTCAACACTGGATTTTACTTATCAAGTCTTCTCTCTTTTTTTATTTTTTTAAGTCTTCTCTTGAGTGGTTGTGAGTGGGTTGTATAAATGATTAAGCACTTGACTCCTAGCCATAAAGATGGTGGTTCAAACTCACTCAAAGGCATCACCGATGACATTCTGTCTGCTTCAGGAAAGGCACAGCCTGGGAGGTTCTAAGTTGTTGTGTTGTTAAGTGCCGCCGAGTCGCAGGCGACTCATAGAGACCATATGAAGGAGAGTCCTCGACACTTGGGTGCCTTTCATACTCTTTCCAGGTTCATAGGGTTTCCGAAGGCAAGCTATTATGGAAGTGGATGCCACCCCTTCCACACTTGGGAGGTTCTATAGACAGTTCTAATGTGTTGTTGTTGTTGTTGTTGTTGTTGTTGTTATGTGCTGTCGAGTCACTTGCGATTCATTGCGACCCTATGTACAACAGCCCTAAACTCTGCTCTGTCCTGTGCCAGTTGCACTGTCTCCGATACACCCATCCCCATTACCCCAGTCACTGAACCAATCCACCTCATAGAGGGCCTTCCCTACACATATTTAATCCCCACAAGTCAGAATCAAGGCAACGACAGCTGACCATAAACTTTCTCTCATCAGTTTTCCTTATTTCAACTGATGACCACTCCATCCTTGCAGTTGCTCAGGGCAAAACATCAGAGTAACCACTGACGTCTGCCTTTCTCTCACACTAGCCAGTCCATCAGGGAATCGTGTTGGTTCAACCTCCAAAACATACGTACGCAAAATCCAGCCATTCTTCACCAGCTCATCACATGCTCCGTAGCCCCAGCCACCACCAGCATGTCTCAGCTCAGTCGTTGAAACAGCCTCAGCTTTTCCCCCTTCTTCTGCTGTCCTTTCTTCGCAGCTCAAAACTCATGTTCCCCTCCACTTCTCTGCCCAGAACCTTCCATTTTATTCAGAATAAAGCCAATTTCTTAATCTACTGTCACCAACCTCTGATGCCCGTGACCAGCCCCTGCTGGCTGCCCTCTTCGGTCTCCCTCTCTCATGAGCAACACCAGCTTCCTTGTTTCCACCTTCAGACCCCTGAGCTGTGCTTCTCCTGCCTGGCCCGCCCTGAGCTCACACAGAACGTGGCTCCTTCCCTCACCTTATTCTGTTCTTTCCTCAGTAATCCCCTTCTCAATGAAGACCACCCAAACCACCTTCACACCGAGTCATAAGCATCCATCTAGCACACCAATGCCCCCTACTCTAATATTCCCCCCCCCCTTAGTTTTAAATTTCTTAGGAGCTCTAGATAGCACTCAACTGCTGAGAGGTTGTCAGTTCTAATCCGCCCAGCACACCAATGCCCTGTTTTTGTTGTTGTTTTTGTTATGTGCCATCGAGGCGCTTGTGACTCATAGTGACCCTATGTACAACAGCTCTGAACTCTGCTCTATCCTGAGCCAACCTTACCGTCTCTGATGCACCTAGCCCCATTACCCCAGTCACTGACTCAATCCATCTCATTGATGGTCTTCCTCTCCTGCGCTGTCCCTCCACCTCCCAAGCATGATGTCCCTTTCCAAGGACTGGTCCCTCCTTGTAACATGTCCAAGGTATGTCAGAAGAAGCCTCAGAATTCTTGCCTCCAAGGAGCAGCCTGGTCTCA